CAGCACCGGGCGCATGGGTGCTGGGGGAGAGGTGCCTGCACGGGGTGCTGCTCGCTGGGTGCCTGGCACCGGCCGACCCATCCCGCGGGGTCTCCGGCAGAGGAGGCAGCACCACGCCGGGGGGTTCTGTGAAAGTCCGGAGGCAAAGCCCCCGGGGCAGGCAGCTCCGCGTGGGGAGGCAGAGACGGACAGATTGACAGCTCCGGGGGATGGACAGATGGCTGGATGGAGAAGCAGATGTGTACGAGGGATGGATGGATGGAGAGATTGATGGATGTGTTGGAGAGGGGGACGCATGGATAGACAGACAGATGCACAGATGGAGAACAGACGCCCATTCCCTTCCCTCTCACCCCGGGCACGCCTGGAGTGCTGAGCTGTGGTGCCGCGCTGGTCCTCTTTCCTGAGGCTTGTCCGATGGTGGGACACTGGCCAGCAACCCGCCGGGGCAACCGGATGGCCGTGGGGCTGCCGATGTCGCCCTCCGAGCAGCTTGTGCCCACGCAGCCCCCGACAGCCCCCGGGGGGGTGGCACCGCCGGACCCAGCCGTCTCAGCCCTCCAGTTTGCCGGCTCTGCGGCTGCCCGGCTCTGCCTCGTGGCACACCAAGCCTGGCTCAAAGCAGCCCCAAAACGCCCGGCGGGTTGTTTCCAAGGATGGCAGCGAGGCCTCGTCCCACCTTGGAGGTTTGCATCCTGGCAGCGCCCCCATCCCTGGCTCCTCTCCCTCTGCCTGCACTGGGGGCATGGGTTTTGCCTGCCTGCTCTGCCTGCCGGGCAGCCCCGCCGTGGTCCTGCCCTGCTCCCACCCGCCTTGTGCCCGGGATCCTGCACAGGAGCGAAAGCTGCAAATTCACAGCTTTTCAGCTGCAACCTAAAAATAAGAGGTTTGGGAAATATCTAGCAAATGAGTGGGAGGATGAGAAGAGGAGGAATTAACGGCCTGGCACCAGGCAAACAGCATCTGGGAAGCCCCGGCATGGCAAAGCGGCCGCCTCGCTCCCCACCCCGTGGCCGTCCGCCACGGCACGGCCCTCCCGCGGCACAAGGGGATGCTCCGATGCCATGCGGGGCAGGATCAGGCCCCCTCCCATCCCCCTGCTCCACAGCATTGCCCCATCCCTTCCCTCCCCAGCACCATCATCCCTATTTGGGCTCAGCGTCACGTCCCTCCACGGCTCGCGGCGACGGCTCGCAGCAAAATGTGGTGGTGGGGAAGTGCCGCTCGCTTGGCACCTTCTCCCGCTCCCCCCTCCCCGAGCGCACACGCGTTTCCGCTGCCGGTTTGGCGAGGCGGCGAGCGGCGCGGGCTGGCACGCTGGGCGCCTGCTCGGCGGCGGCGGCGGTGGCAGGCGGCTTGGCAAGGGGGGGAGGTTCTCTGCGTGGAGCTGTGGCGTGTCGGCTGCGGGGAGAGGCTTTGATCGCCTCTTCCAGAGAGCGCAGCGGGCGGCTGGGGCTGGGGGGGCTCCGTGCAGCTTTGATTTCTCCCCCTGGGTACTTGGCATCAATGGGTTTCGCCGGTGGGAGGATGCTTGGGGAGATGGGGCTGGAATACCAAGCAGCCTCAGGGGAGACGCCGTGCCCACCCCAAGCTGGGCATTTTGGGCTCTGCACTCAAAAATATGGCCCTGAGAGCCTGGCTGGGGCCATCCTCGCTGGGGTACGTGTGGAGAGATCGGCCCCAGCCCTGGTGCTGGCAGATGCTGTCAGCTTGTGCCCACCACTCGTCCAAAGCCCTTGGCCACTTGCCACTCCATGGAAGAGATTTCCAGCATCTCTATCCTGTGCAGGAGCCTTTCGCTTGGGAGAATAGCGAGGAGCTGGGTGCCCCTCACAGGTGCTTTGCCCTCCCAGCGCTGCCACGTGCCAGGGTGGAAAGTGTTGTTCCAGGGCCGTGGGCTTTGGTGCAGGTCCATGGTGGGGAGCTGGGGGTGATGGGGGAGCTGTCGGTCAAGTCCGAGTGCCAGGACGGGCACAGGGAGACAGGGTGTCCCTGCCGTGCGGGGAAGGGGATCGGTGGGGAAAGGGGCATGGCTGCCCTTGAGCGGGAGGGTCTCACTGTGCCGGACTCGAGCGATGTCTGTCCTGGAGAGCTGAGCGTGCACAGGGCCAAGATGCACAAAGCAACTGAGATGCGCAAAACCATTGAGATATGCAAAGCCACCGAGATGTGCAAAGCCACCGAGATGCACAGGGCCACCAAGATGCATAAAGCGACCGAGATGTGCAAAACCACTGAGATGTGCAAAGCCACCGAGATGTGCAAAGCCACCATGATGCACAGGGCCACCGAGATGTGCAAAGCCACCGAGATGTGCAAAGCCACCGAGATGCACGAAGCCACCAGGATGCTCAGGGCCACTGAAGGGCACAAAGCCACCAAGACGAGGACCGAGGCCAGGGAGGAGATGGGAGCAGGCTGGGGCACCGCAGGGCGTCCCTGGGCTGGGCTGCCTGCACAGGGGTGCCCAGCTCTGCCATGGCACCAGCACCCATTGCCACCCTGGCGTGGGGCTGCCTCCCCGTGCATCGCCGGAGCCGGTGCTCAGCCGCGTGTTGAATCCGTTGGTATCAGCAGTTCTTGCCGCGAGCGCCTTGCCTCCGCCGGGCCGATTTTACAGGATCTCCGGCTTACACGCTGCTTAGAAGAGAATAATCCCTCTCGGATTTCTGCGCCTCTCACTTGTGCTCGGGTCGGGTTTTGAAGTGTTTCCTCTGCAGCCACAAAGGCCGGAGCTCGCTCGTGCTCCGGAGCTTGCTAATCCCACGCCTGCAGGAGCAGCGGCTTAGAGGAGATGGGCATGCAGCAGCACGCTGCCATCGCCGCCAACAGCTCCCTCTCCCAAGCACCCGGGGGACTGTGGGCACGGGGGGCTCCGAAGGGTGTGGGAGGGTGCTTGGCCAAACGCATGGGTCCTCCATGCCAAGGTGCAGGCTCGCAGGAGGGTGGTCTGGCACGGGGACCCTCTTCCCCCAGCACAGGGACCCTCTCCCCTGGCTCAACTGGCTGCTGCTCATGCAGCACCCCGCAAATCCCACACTGAAGATCTGCGGCACTAACGAGGCAGGTAATCCCCTCATCAATAACTGGCTGTAAAAGTGGAATTATATTCCATCAAGCGGCATGGAATACTGATGAAAGGGCCGCAGGGCCGCGCCGCCGTGCCGCTCCCTTCCCCAGCCTCCGTGGCCATCCCCGCGGCATCCCCATGCCAAGCATCCCCACCGGGGAGCTGATGCTGCTGGCATGGGGACCCCACGCAGCGCCCCGGGGCAGGGACCCAGGGCTGGGGACAAGCCAGAAGCTCTGCTCTGCTCAGCTTCTCTAATTAACCAGTGCTAATTGCCCGGAAAACGAGTCATTTAAATCATGCTGAGGGCGGTAGCAGCCTGGGGGCCAGCATCTCTCCCCCAGCCCTGGGGACACGGCCAGCATGGGCTGAGGGACATGTGTCTGTGCCAGGGAGGGCTGGCACCCGCCTGTGCACAGGGACCCGCGTGGCTGAGCCTGGAGGTCGCTGGGGGCTAAGAGCCACGCCGTCAATAAGCGCCCAGCATCGCGGCATGGAGCTCCCTGGGCAGGCAGGTCCCTGCCGGCGTAACCATCAGGCTCACCGGGTGATGCCAGGTGTGGGGCTGCGGTGGCAGCTTGGCACGGGGAATTTGGCCAGGGGCAGGTACTGCACATGGGAACTGGCACGCACCGATGTCCCTCTCCAACCCCTTCGGTGGCAGTGTCCAGACACCGCACTGGATTTCTCCTTCCTAAGCAGGGTAATCCCTCATTTGTGCCATGCCAGCACCTCTGCAGGCAGCGCGCATCCCTTCCCCTCGCCTTCTCCCCTTTGATTTCCCTCTCGCCAGATTACATTGAGGATGAACTTGACCCTGCAAGGATTGAAGCATCTCTTGAAGCTCCGGGCTAAGCCCGGAGGGGTTATGGCGAGGGTCACGCTCACCGCAGTCATTAGCGTGCCTCTTGTGCGGCAGCCAGGCAGGGCACCCTGCTTTCGGCATGTCACGGTGTTCCCGGGCAGGCATCAGGGCTGTGGGGAGCACCGGGGGGGTGAGCCGGCATTTGGGGGGCAGAGGAGGGCTCACCCCAATTCCTAGCCACGCCAGCCTGCCCGGCTAGCCCATGTGCCAAACTTGAACTGGTCAGGGTCCTGCACCGCTGAGAGCTGGGCATCCCACGGGGAGGCTGCCCCAGCCCTCCCCGCCAGCTCAGCTGCTTTACATCCCCCCGGCAGCTTATCTAGCTCAGGTTTATAAATGTTTGAAATTAAGGGCTGGTCCCAAATTCCCTCCTAGGCAACAGTTGCTAAGTGAGTTTTATACACAGGCTCCTCGTGACCGAGGAGCGATGGAGTGGCCCCCCTTGCTGGGTTTGGATGGAGGGAGCGTGTGTGCCGGCTGGCTGTGCCGCTGGCGGGGGGCTGGCTGTGGCCCAGGAGCCGGGACCCCCCAGCCCTGTCCCCCAAAACCTCCCGGGCCGACTTCCCCACCCTCCTGCCCGCTCCATCCCACCCTGGCAGGGGCTCAGCACCCGTCATGCGGCTTTGATAAAACTCCCCTTTATTGCCACCATCTCCTTGGCTTCTCTTTTTTTATTCCGCCAGAGGCTGCGGGGCTGCCGGTGCTGCGGCCGCTTTGGCACCCGTCTGCACACCGGGGCGGGAGCGGGGGGGTGGGGGGCCCGGGGGCCC